GACCACAGGACATGTCTCCAGAAATTAGGGTCTTTGTCCCTGTGTGTATTTGCAAAGTGTAACCTGGCTTTTTTATGTCGCTTTTGGAGTAAGGGCTTTTTCCTCGCTGAGTAGCCTTTCAGCGCATGTCGGTACAGGACTCGTTTCACTGTGGATAGTGATACACTCTTACCAGCTTCAGCCAGCATCTTCACAAGGTCTTTTGCTTTTGTTTGATACGCACATTCCGCACCAAAACACGTTCATCTCTTGAACTTAGGAGCCGTCTCCTTCCTGAGCGGTATGATGGCTGGACATTCCCATGTTGTTTATACTTGCGTATAATTGTTTGAACAGATGAACGTGGCACCTTTGGGCATCTGGAAATTGCTCCCAAGGATGAACCAGTCTTGTGGAGGTCCACAATTCTCTTCCTGATGTCTTGGCTGATTTCTTTAGACTTCCCCATGGTGTCACAAAAGGAAGCAGTGTGTTGAGGTGTGCCTTTAAATACATCCACAGGTGTGCCTCCAATCAACTCAAGTGGTGTCAGTTAACCTATCAGATGCTTCCAAAGCCATGACATCATCATCTGGGCTTTAACCAAATAGTTTAAAGACATAGTAACCTTAGTGTATGTAAACTTTTGACTTTGAAGAAAGTAATAAAAAAATCTCTAAAAAATTCTCTCACACATTATTTTGACATTTAGCAAATAGAAATTATTTTGGGAATCCGAACGGGCCTAAAACTGAAAGGGTTTTGTATGATTTAATATCAGACAGTAAGAAAAAAAAAGTTATATGTCTTTTTATACAGTGTATGTAAACTTTTGGTTTCAACTGTAGCTCCAATGTGGGATTTCCCAGTTAGCTGGATAACTTAAACCAAATGTGGAAACTGTCCAATAGGAGTATCTGTAATTGACATTCCTATTGGACAATCCTTACATTTGGGTTAAGTTATCTGGCTAATGAAGAAATCCTGTATGCTTTGTGTAATACCCCCCAGGTCTGGAACACATCTTGAGTTTCACCCTGTCAGCAACGTGAGTGTTGCCCCGCGTGAGTGTATGACAGTTTCTGATGTTGATCTGTGAGTGTATGACAGTTTCTGATGTTGATCTGTGAGTGTATGACAGTTTCTGATGTTGATCTGTGAGTGTATGACAGTTTCTGATGTTGAT